TTATTTGTAAATAATCTCACATTTAAATCTCTTTGACTCACTTAATCAGATTGCCGTTAACCTAGTTTTTCGTTAATTTACCCTTTTCTTTTCTAAACAGTAATATTGTATTTTTTCACTTTATATATTTTTTGACATTTGAGGGGCGGAAAAAATTAGGTCCGCAAACATTATCCAGAAAATAAATGCTGCCTTTAAAAAGTACAATTTAAACGATTGCTAATTCGGGGAATCATTTACTTTAGTTGGTTCATAATTTCTATTCCACAAAATATTATTTTTTTTTTTTTGCTTGACAAAGACGCACTTAATGAACTAGGCCAAACATATTTACATATATTTTTTATGAAACATTATTAAAAATTTACATAAATATGTACATTAGGGTGATTTTTTTTTTGCGGCGACTATTTTGTGTTTTGACTCCCACCCTTTTATTAATATTAAATGCTCGAGCAAGGCGTGCAAAGATTTCCCGTTCAAAAGACACGTAAACTTTGATTGTTTATCTTCACAATTCTATAGGTCAGAGGCATTTTATGGTATAACCATGGTAAATGATGGGGTTTTCTTCAGAATTGAATGTTCTACAAAAGATCAGTTGAAATTCCTAGTCTTACCGCGTTAAAAACCAATCGCACCATGGCCTGTCAGAACTCCCATCACTAGCCCTTCAGTGGTTATGTGTTTTTCGGCACCTTTAAGCGGTGGCGATGGGTCACTCGTGTCTTGCGCTGCAAGAAGTATTTTAAAGTGCCCTGTGTTAGCATTTTCTGCAGTAGGAAATCCTCATCCCTTCCTTTTTTATGTCACAAAAGAACCATCCCTTTTATTTGTCTATTTTATTAGGTACTCTAACTGCAAGTATGCAATTTCATTATCGCGATTACGATGTATGCGTGTTAGTCTAGCGCTCGCCGAGCTAACCCGAGGTCCAACCATCTAAGAGCGTACCGCAGGAGGACAGAAGCATGGCCGAATTCAACAAAGCACGCCAGTCGTTTCTCTTCTGGGTCAACTGACGCCAATTGGAAATGCCAAGTGAAGCCAAGTCCTTCTCCACCTGGTCTTTCCATCGTAGTGGGGGCCTCCCTCTTCCTCGGCTACCACCAGCGGGTTCCGAGTTGAATACTCTCAGAGCTGGAGCGTCGGAGTCCATTCGAGCCACATGGCCAAGCCAGCGGAGCCGCTGTATTTTAATTCGCTGCACAACGTTTATGGCGTTGTAAAGCTCATACAGCTCATCGTTCCATCGTCTGCGGTACTTGCCGCCGCCAACGCGTAAAGGCCCGTAAATCTTCCGCAAAATCTTCCTCTCGAATACTTCAAGAGCCGCCTCATCGGATGGCTGCGATTGTTTGCAGATCCCTTAATACTACGTACATACTTACCAGTTAAACTACCGTTGACTTAACGAAACCTTTGATTTTGCAAAGAACGCGAAGTTTCAGCTGAAAACATAAATGGTGTTCGTTATATCGCAAGAAAAATCAATAGGGGTATTCACGATCCGGTGCATACTGGATAGCATGGTGCGCAGATAGCATGATTGTTGTTGTTTCATGTGTTCAAACAACAACAAAACTAGCCAATCATGCTATCTGTACTATCTACGCACCATGTTAGACAGTATGCACCGGATCGTGAATACCCCTAATTAGGAAAATTTGATGATGCGTTAAACCGAAAATTCGTTATTCCGAGACATCGTTATACTGGACATCTTCTGTACTTTGGCACTGGTACTGGTACTTGTACTTGGTTGTTATAGATCTGTTTAAATAAAGATACATATACACATAATTTATGTGATATATATAGGTTAAGAAGGTCGAGTTCTCGAAGGAGTAAAATTAATCCCTTGGGAAAACCTAACGTCAATAGAGAGAGAGCGGCAAGCGCGGAAAATTTAATCTTGCCATTAGAGGCCCCAGAAAATATTTTTTACTCATTAGAGCATAATAGCCAAAGATACGTTTGTATGAATGCAAAAATAAAAATAAAATTACATGTGTATGTGTGTGTGTATGTGCATTCATACTTTTAAAAAGGAATTGTAAGTTGTTTGGGTTTGCGTGATGTTACGTTCATAATGGTAAATCATAAGCTGGTGTTGCCATGCCGAGATGTTGCCAAGCATTCGTCGGGTATATGGGGAGTACTTTGCAACTTACGGCCAGCGCAGCAACAAGGGCGCCGGGCGCCGGGCGGGCTGTACGTGCAGTATGTAACGGGTGATTTTTTTGAGGTTAGGATTTTCATGCATTAGTATTTGACAGATCACGTGGGATTTCAGACATGGTGTCAAAGAGAAAGATGCTCAGTATGCTTTGACATTTCATCATGAATAGACTTACTAACGAGCAACGCTTGCAAATCATTGAATTTTATTACCAAAATCAGTGTTCGGTTCGAAATGTGTTTCGCACTCAGTTTACTTTATTGGACATTAAACCAACCACACGAATGCGTACAGTGCGTACAGAAGAGAATATTGCGTCTGTTTCTGAGAGTGTTGCTGAAGACCGTGAAATGTCGATTCGTCGCCGTTCGCAGCAATTGGGTTTGTGTTATTCGACCACATGGAAGATTTTACGCAAAGATCTTGGTGTAAAACCGTATAAAATACAGCTCGTGCAAGAACTGAAGCCGAACGATCTGCCACAACGTCGAATTTTCAGTGAATGGGCCCTAGAAAAGTTGGCAGAAAATCCGCTTTTTTATCGACAAATTTTGTTCAGCGATGAGGCTCATTTCTGGTTGAATGGCTTCGTAAATAAGCAAAATTGCCGCATTTGGAGTGAAGAGCAACCAGAAGCCGTTCAAGAACTGCCCATGCATCCCGAAAAATGCACTGTTTGGTGTGGTTTGTACGCTGGTGGAATCATTGGACCGTATTTTTTCAAAGATGCTGTTGGACGCAACGTTACGGTGAATGGCGATCGCTATCGTTCGATGCTAACAAACTTTTTGTTGCCAAAAATGGAAGAACTGAACTTGGTTGACATGTGGTTTCAACAAGATGGCGCTACATGCCACACAGCTCGCGATTCTATGGCCATTTTGAGGGAAAACTTCGGAGAACAATTCATCTCAAGAAATGGACCGGTAAGTTGGCCACCAAGATCATGCGATTTGACGCCTTTAGACTATTTTTTGTGGGGCTACGTCAAGTCTAAAGTCTACAGAAATAAGCCAGCAACCATTCCAGCTTTGGAAGACAACATTTCCGAAGAAATTCGGGCTATTCCGGCCGAAATGCTCGAAAAAGTTGCCCAAAATTGGACTTTCCGAATGGACCACCTAAGACGCAGCCGCGGTCAACATTTAAATGAAATTATCTTCAAAAAGTAAATGTCATGGACCAATCTAACGTTTCAAATAAAGAACCGATGAGATTTTGCAAATTTTATGCGTTTTTTTTTAAAAAAAAGTTATCAAGCTCTTAAAAAATCACCCGTTAGTTGTGGAGCAATGCAAAACTTACAAGCCAGAGCCACTGCAAGCTGAGGTTGTGCTACAAATATATATACATACATACATACATACATATGTACCCAGAAGCAATTTTGTGAAGGCTTTCCTTTGGTAAGGTATTACAGAACAGCTCCTAAGCAAGTGCAAATCACATCCAAACATCAGTACGATGCTCCTTCTCGAGAAGTGTGTAGGCAACGTGTTAAGCAAATAAACTGAAATGAGCTACTCAACATGATACAATAATTTTTTTCTTCTTATCCGCCACGTGTTTCGTAGTTTTTATTGTACCAACTTTTTCAAAAAAAAAAAAAACAGCTTTTCACGTTGGAAAAATAAAACAAAGGAAAGCCAAAAAACATATACATAAGTAGAGAGATTTTCTAATATTTTTTAATAATTTTCTTCATAAAAAATTATCAGAAAATTAACTGCTACTTCCATGGATATTGCAACACACGGAATAGATGTAAGAGCCACCGCACACCACAGAACTTTATCGGCCGCATAATTCAATAGTAGGACTCGCTTGAAATATGTACATGAAGATATATGCAGGCAGGTGCACACACTACACCAACTTAATCGCTACGACCAATTAGTTGTGGTGCAATGGAAAGATTAGCGAGCCCAACTAAATCGGCGGTCTGTTAGCTTTCAGGAAGGCCCGGGTTCGAATCTCGTTAGACTCAATATAATTTTTCATTTTTGTTATTGGTTTTTCTTAATTACGAAAAGGCATCTGTGAAGTGTTACGCATAAGTTACGCATAAAAGATAAGCCCTTCTATGAGTTGTTCTCCCGAGAGCGGAAAGGCAAGGCCTTGCAATTGGGTCCGTTTTATAAAAAAAAAAAAATAATTAAGGAATTTTAATTCTGTAATTGCTCTCTACTCCTTATTTCTTCTGGGTATGTATGCACATACATACTTATGTATGTGTGCGATGAGACGCTACTTCCTGCTGATGGCCGCCAACGATGATGGCAACGGTGTGGGGAGGGGCCGTTTGCGGCGGCATAGTGATGAATGGAGTGTTTGTGTCGAATTCTTGTGCACTTGTAATAATTCCAGTTCGTTTAGATGTACATATCGTCACCTGAAATGCAAAAAGACGTAACAACCATCATCGTTGATATGCAAAACGTCATAACTAATAAAAAATTCAAAATTTACCTTTTGATTTATATGATGGATTTCATCGAATTACAACTCCCCACATCATTTAATGAAAAAAATTAAAATATTAGTCACGACTTTTTCCATTCATTTACTATGTTGTTACGTCTTTTGGCATTTCAATTGCCGATATGTACATACATACATATGTATGTGTGTATATACATTAGACTGTATCTAAAAAAAAAGTTCATAATTTTCCAAGCAATTTTGAGAATTCACTATGACGGTATTTCAGAAGTGTAAGCATAAACAGACGACAGCATTGATCCGAATTAACTCGGTAATTGGGAATTATCTCGGGAATTA